GAGGAGGAGGAGGAGGAGGAGGAGGAGGATGATGATGATGATGATGATGATGATGATGATGATGATGATGATGATGATAATGATGAAGATGATGAAGCATTTCCAACAGATATTCCTGTGGCCGCAAATGTGGATGAACGTAGTCCTTCAATGATCCTCAATGACGGTGTAAAAAGAGTAGAGGAATGACATTTTAAATTTGTAAACAAATTTGAGCTCATGGCAAAAATCATAGAGTTCACTTATCTCTTTGAATATTTAAAATTAAAAACACCACCGTTGAGAGAGCAAGTGAAAGATTGACCGCTAAAAGATATTCAAGTAAATAAGCGACTGAGAGAAAATAAATATGGTTGCAAATAGTTTTCCGGATAAACGCCACAGAAGGGACAGATGGAGCTTTGAGCTGTTAAAACTGCAATAGTTACAACGAGCTGGGGCAATGATGATGCAATCTTTTAAAAATTTTATTATACGAAGACACTGAGGATGAAAACCGAATTGAACGTAATTAGATATTATTAAGAACAATGATAATGAGGACAATACTCATGATAATGAGGAGAATGACAATGATAAAGAGGATTATGATGATGGTAATGAGGAAAATAACGATGAAAATGGGAAAAATAATGATGATAAAGAGGACAATGATGAAGGCAATGAGGACAATGATGATGAAACCTATCAGAATGGTTATGGCTTGGAGCCACTCGGGATAAAAATTAACTTAGTGTTATTCTTCTACTATTGTTCAATCAGGAAACGACAAATGCAGTTTTTGGGACACCTGAATAGACATAAGGGTCTTGAACACCTAGCTCTCACTGGCAAAATTGAGGGCAAACGAGGCAGGGGTAGGCCCAGAACAGCATACTTAGGTAAACAAATAGGTAACAGGGGAAGATCAGGGAAAGGTAGCTTTTTTAAGAGCATCCGAGCAAAGGAATGAATGGAAAACCATGATCGACGATGTCTGTCGCAGATCTGGCACTGAGTGATGATTGATCTACTATCTGTTGACCGGAGGATGACCCCGAATTTCTCCATCACAACAGTCTCTTGGGCCCTAACCTTGGGTTTGAGAATGCTTGTCATGAACAGGGTGGTGAATAGTGCGGTTATTACAGAAAATTGCCGTATTCCATTAAAATATTTCTCACAGTCTACATCCCCACCCCCCGCCTATTTTGACACCATCACTACTCCTATCTCTCTCCACTGCCTCCTATCCCACGCTCCTCTCAAACCCTTCCTCTTCCATCATACTTCTTACACCCCCC